CAAAACCACTGAGAAAATTGTCCAAGAGTTGTTGGAGGAGAACTTCCCTGATATGATGAAAGATGAGAATATATCCATTCAGGAAGTCCAACAAACCCCAAACAGGATAGACCCCAAAAGCTGTGAGGCTACAGACTATGTCACTGGTATTTCAAAGACCAGCAGGGTCACTCATGGTGGACATGTTTCAGCAGAACTTCCAGACTAGGAGTGGGAAGGACAGGGACATCTACTTCTGAAAAAAATTAGCATCAGTCAAAACAAGGCAAGGAGCTGACTATGGAACAGACCATCAATTGATCATATGCAAATTCAAGATGAAGCTGAAGAATTACAAGTCAATGAGAGCCAAAATACAACCCTGATTATATCCCACCTGAATTTTGAGACCATGTGAAGAACAGATTTGACATATTGAACACCAATGACCGAAGACCGGACGAGCTGGGGGATGACACCAAGAACATCATACACAAAGAAAGCAACAGGTCATTAAAAAGACAGGAAGAAAAGACCAAAATGGATATCAGAAGAGACTCTGAAACTTGCTCTTGAATGGAGAGTAGCTAAAGCAAATGGAAGAAATGATGAAATAAAGGAGCTGAAAAGATTTCAAAGTGTGGCTCAAGAAGACAATATAAAGTATTATAATGAAATGTGCAAAGACCTGGAATTAGAAAACCAAAAGGGAAGAACATGCTTGGCATTTCTCAAGCTGACATAAATGAAGAAAAAAATTCACGCCTCGAGTTGAGTTGCAATATTGAAGGATTCTATGGGCAAAATATTGAACGATGCAGGAAACATCAAAAGATGGAAGAATACACAGTGACTGTACCAAAAAGAACTGGTTCAACCAAATCAGGAGATAGCATGTGATCAAGAACTGATAGGACTGAAATAAGTCTAAGCTGCACTGAAGGAGCTAGAGAAAAACAAGGCTTCAGGAATTGACAGAATAACCAATGCTAAGAAAGGAGATCAAACAAAATAAGGAAATTATCAAACAATATCATTAATATCACACGCAAGTAAAACTTTGCTGAAGATAATTCGAAAATGGTTGCAGTGGTATATTGACAGGGAACTTCTAGAAATGCAAGTTGGATTCAGAAGAGGATGTGGAATGAGGGATATCATTGCTGATGTCAGATGTATTGTGGCTGAAAGCAGAGAATACCAGAAAGGTGTTTACCTGGGTTTTATTGACTATGCAAAGGCCTCTGACTGTGTGGATCATAACAAATTGTGGATAACATTGCAAAGAATGAGCATTCCAGAACACTAAACTGTACTCATGAGGAACCTGTACATAGACAAAGAGGCTGCTGTTTGAAAAGAACAAGGAGATACTGAATAGTTTAAAATCAGGAAGGGTGTGCATCAAGGTTGTATCCTTTCACCGTACTTATTCAATCTATATGCTGAGCAAATAGTTGGAGAAGCTGGGCTATCTAAAGAAGAATGCAACATCAAGATTGGAGGAATACTCATTAACAATCTGTGATATGCAGATGACAAAACCTTGCCTGTTGATGAAGATGACTTGAAGCACTCACTGATGAAGATCAATGACTACAGGATTACACCTCAACATAAAGAAAACTAAAATCCTCACAAATGGACCAATAAGCAACATCATGATAAATGGAGAAAAAAAAATTGAAGTTGTCAAAGGATTTCATTTTACTTGGATCCACAATCAATACCCATGGAAGCAGCAGTCAAGAAATCAGACATCACATTGCACTGGGCAAATCTGCTGCAAAAGACCTTCTTAAAATGTTAAGGAGAAATTATGTCACTTTGAAGACTAAGAGTATGCCTAACCCAAGCCATGGTATTTTCAATCATTTCATATGCCTTGGGCTCACTATGAGTTGGGTCCAACTCAACAGCACATAACAACAACAACAACATATGTGTGTGAAAGCTGGACAATGAATAAGGAAGACCTCCACCTTTTGAAAGAGGGTTAAAATTGCTTTGGTAAATTCAAATGATGCTTAAGTTTCCAAATAGAAGAG